GTTAACGTTTCGAATCCAGTGAGTTCTGGAGAAGGGTCACCAGACCTGAACCGTTAACTCTGTTTCTCTCTCCACAGATGCTGCCAGACCTGCTGAGTTTTTCAGCAGTTTCCGTTTTAGTCTCAAACACCCTCTCCCCAGGTCAGAAAACAGTCTGTCTATGTCATTCTAGAATCAAGAAATAACACTTAAAACGGGTTTCCCATCATATTCCTGCTGCCTGCAACATTGTGGATTACAATTTTCGCTGCACACAATCTCTCATTCCAAATCCTGTGTAAAACCTTTGCAAAGTGTCACAGACTTAAAGGGATGAGAAATGTGTCAGAAATCTATCAGAAACCGTGAGGTAGTCACACCCTCGGAGCTCTCTGAATGTTCTTTCTCATATGGCCAAGCCATTGACCTTGAGGATAACCTCGCTGAATGCAGCACTGATGGACTGCAGCATTGTTGGGAAAATGCACATTCCTTCACCATTGACATCAGTGAGGTTCCTTTGTAGGAGGCTTTTACCCAAACGATTCTCTATGACAGTACAACATGGATTCACATCGCTGGCACTTACTGTTGGAGACCTCGAACAGATCAGTACTAAGAGACACCCTTTTTGTGTAAAGCTCTCTATCAAACACAGGCAAAGAAAAGCTCATTGGGGTGAATGCATGAAGCAAATTCACTACACTCCTGCCATTGACTGTGACCTGCTTCCAACTCTGGTCTTGTTCATTCTAACTTCTACTTTCTCAATGAAGTTGATGGATTAAACTAGAACAACTCAACGCTTCCAACCCAGATGTAAATGCAAGAATGTTTTAATTGTTTAATGTTAATTTTTTAAAAAATTTATTACCAGACAACTCTACATTGTCAGGCATCAGTCTGCTTTAATGGGAGCTAACCCTCTCCATCCAACCTCTGTCATTGAAGAGTGTTAACACTTGAGATCGGATCCAACGGCTGCGATGGCTTCTGTAGTCGGATAGCTGGTGTTTTTTTTTGTGTGCGCAGTGGGTTTCTCAGAACAGCCAGGAGGGAGAGGTTCTGAGGTTTTGTCACTTCCTGCCTTTCCTTCAGCAGGAGAGAATTATCCTCCTATGTTGAAGTTCTCTCTTTGTCCTCCTGTGTTGGAAACAGCCTGCCCTGCTGGTACATTCGGAAGCTTTGTTCCAGGAGCTCCGGCCCGAACAAGTATCTCTCTAAGTACAGTCAGATTTTTACACGTCCTGACCTGATGAGTCACCTCTCCAGCTGAAGGCAGATCGTGGGGGGGAATGGAACGATCTCTGGCCCTTTTACTTAAGGCAATCAGCTTTCTAAATGCTGCAATTATTCATTTGAAATGGCTCCCCCTTTCAGGCCTGTTCAGGCAGGAAACTTGCTTTAACACCTTAGAAAGACTCACTCTGTTGCCTGCGTCCTAAAACTCTCCATTTTGTGACTCCAGGCAGCTCAGTTCAATGGAAACAGTCACTGAATTGCAGAAATGTAGCTGTGCAGCCAGAGGCCATTCAGCCCATGGTGCCTGCACTGCCTCTTCGCATGACCATCATTCCCTTGTGCCAACCTCCTGCCTTCTCCTCACACCCCCTGCACACCATTTCGATCTAAATAACCACCCAGTGTCCCTCTTGAAATGCCTCCATTGTACCTGCCTCTTCCACATTCCACATCCTAACTACTAGCTGTGGGAAAATATTTTTTCTCACCTGCTTTTGCCTTTCATTGGAAATCAGTTTAAATCTGTGTCTATCATTCTTCATCTTCTATGAGCAGGAACAGCTTCTCCCTATCTATTCAGCCTGCTCATGATTTGGAAAATCTGTACTAAATACCATCTCAGCCTTCTTCTCTCCAAGGAGAACAGTCCCAACCTCTTTAATTCATCCTCATCACCACATTTTCTTGTTCCTAGTTTGTAAATTCTTGTAAATCGCCTCAAATATGTCTCTCTTTTCCATATGTTCACGCCTTTTCTATAATGTGGTGTCCAGAGCTATACGTAATACTCCAGCTGTCTTGTGTCTTGTACACATTCACCATCACCTCTTGTACTCTATGCCCCTATTAATAAAGTTTATTAATAAACTGTATGTATTATTAAATGTTTCTTCACCTTTCCTGCCACCTTCAATGATCTGTGCACATATGCCCCCAACTCCCACTGCTCCTGCACCTCCTTTACAATTGTACCCCGACTTCTTATTGTCTTCTTTCAAGCAAAATGCATCACCTCAAACTTCTGTGCACTGAGCCTTACCTCCATCAGTCTGTGACCCACTGTGATCTCCATCTTGGAGACTTTAATGTAATTTCCCACATACCAATTGCTACTCTCAGCTTAAAACCCTCCAATATCCAATGACACTTTTGTAACAAGAGAGAAAATCTCCCGAATCATACAAAACCAGAGCAGGAATGTCTGCAGCCTCTCTGTTTGTCTGTAACCTGTTCTGGCTGAGGGTCACACTCACCCAATATTACAGAAATCTATCTCCTAGTTACCAAGGTGGCCAATTAATTCAATCCATTAAGTATCAGGTTTAAATGAAATTATCCATCACCAGGTCCTTTAACAAACACAATGATTGGAATATTATTAAAACAAAACACAATCACTTGAGAGGCAATCATTGGTTAAGGTACACAGTCAGTAATATGAAAGTATGATTGTTTATCTCTCTAAATATATCTATCTCTTAAGAAAGGGAGAGGACAATGTTTGACTTTTTTTAACATTTAAAGACATCAAGAGGTTTGGGGAGAAAGCGGGAACAGGGGACTGAGTTAGATGGTCAGCCATGATCATATCCAATGGGGTAGCAGACTCAAAGGGCTAAATAGCCTAATTCTGCTCCTAGCTGTGATATTTCTAAATAACCCAAAGCATGCACAAATGCACACCCTTCAGGAAAAGAGAGAGAAAGAAACAGATTTTTCTGCGTCTGGGGTTAAAATAAAAACACTTTGCCAAATGGGGAAGGCAAAAGGATAAAGTGTAGAAAAAGCAAGACAAAATCGAGTGCTGGAAATCTGAAATGAGAACCGTAAGTGCCTGAGAAACTTGGTAGGTCTGACAGTTCCAAAGAAATCATGTCAGACTCAAAAGGTTAAGTCTTTTTCCACAGTTGGTGTCAGAGCTGCTGAGTTTCAGTATAACATGTAGAATGCAAGAAGTCTACTGCACTGATATTCCGATTGGTGGAGTCAGGTCAAAATCATGTAAGGTTCTCTCTGGAGTCTTGGCAGACACGGTATGCTCAGGAAACACAATATTGAGAAGTTCCTTCAATCAGTCCCTCAGAAGAGCAAATAGATTTCATCCTGAGCACAACGAGAGGGTTAGTACAGAAACAGAATGATCAGCAGAGCTGCCCTTTCTCTCAGATTTCTTCTTCGCCAACTGATTCCAGATACCAAACCAATTTCCATTAAGTCACTGTTCAAACAGTCCCAGCCCCCAGGACTCAACAGCTGAGGAAGCTGTTATCATCCAACATGTACATTTGGAAAAATACAAGAATAGGTAAGATTTGGTGGAACATGAACCAGGAACAGGCAGGTGGGACTAGTTTAGTTTGGGATTATGGTCAGCATGGACTGGTTGGACCAAAGGGTCTGTTTCCGCACTGTATAACTCTATGACTCTCTGTAATTTCTAGGAAGCCTTGTGAAACAAATCTCCAATGTTGACAGTGACCTTTCAATGACCTCTTTTAAAGAAACATCTTCAGGTATTGCCACAAGACTTGAAATGAATTACTTCAAAACTTAAGCGCTCCAAGAAATATTAAATATGAAGCATCCCTATGATATTTTGGACAGAAATGTACAAATGTGCCCCAGTGCTGGAAGGAACGTTATGGGTTTCGGAAACAAACTCCCCTCTGATTTCCTGTCGGCTGTAACCAGGGAAGAGTTTAAAACTGTTTTAAATCTGTCACACTTTAAATCTTAACATTTGCTATCAGAGTATCTGAGGAAAACAGCAATTTCATGATATTTTTCTGAAATTGAGCCAAAAATCTACAATTACTTTTCATTCACAACCCTCATTAACCAATAGCAGATAGCTATAATTAATTTCTTGTCTACAGTGTCAATACATACACTCCTCCATTACATGCAATATACACATCCCCTACATTATATACTCTATAAATCACCTTACATTACATATACATTATAAATACCTACAGCTCCATGCATTATATACACTATATTTGTACATACATTTCCGTACATTATATGTAGTATGTGCATCTCCCTACAGTATGGATAATATATATTTACAGCTCTGTACATTATACACAGTAAAAATTACTTATATCTCTGTACATTAAATACTATCACACCACGCATTACATCAGTGATGATGTTCCAGAAATACTTGATGAACTGAATGGCTCTTTGCGATGTGCTTAGGTTGTGAAAGGGTGAAATACAAGTTTGTTTTTTCCTTCACTTGTAAATGAAGTGAAATCCTAATTTGGTCTCAGTAAATGGAGAATGTGATGAATTCTAGGGCATATAATAATGTGGGGAGATGTGCCTCTCAGTTATTGAGAGAGCGAGAGAGAGAGAGTGGGGGGAAGGTCCTCTGTCCTGGTTCCCCGTGACCAACCCTTCTGTTCCTTCCATTCCTCGCCCTGGTACTCTCGGCTTTTGTGATGTCGGAATATTTTTTGGCTTCCCTTAGAATTTCACAACAATCATCTTCACCTTTCAGAGAACATACTTTTGTGAGATCATCAATTAAGGTGATCTCAGTAGGACTGGACCCGCTTGCGTCCTTACCCCACTGTCACAGGGCTTTGATTCCATCCCTGAGATAGCACGGTCTACAGTGCCAACACCCGCACCACCCCCCACCCCACCCCCCACCCCCGCCCGCCCCACCACCACCTCCCCAACTCCCCGGCAGCCCTGGGGGGAGGCAGTGGGGAGAGCTGTGAAAAGATGAGGTGAGATTGGCCTTTTGTAGGCAGGAGGCTGTGGATGGAAGGTAAACTGAAACAGGAGGGAGACTTGCCCTGCAGCAGAACAAGGTGGAGGGAAAGGACGGTGTGATGGTTTCAGCAGAATGAGGCATCAAGGAGAGAGAACAATGATAACCCTGCTGGGACAGAGCAGAGTGACTTTGACAGAGTCATGGGAAGGCATCAGGGAATTGACATTTCTTTGGCAATGTTAGTCTGTGGAAGGTCAGCCAGTGACCACGAACTTTCCTACAAAGTGGCTTGGCTCAGTCGAACACTGGTCCCACAGAAAGCCTCACTACGTCACTGATCTCTCCCCCAGCTGTGTTACACTTCCCTCAATGGCACAGTGCATTGTGCAGCACAGGGGGTGATGCCAAGGTCTCCTACTGTTAAGTCACAATGACCAGGAGAGAAAGCAGAAAAAAAGGCCAACGACAGTGATACTGTGGAGGTTACACTCAGTGATTGTAGGAGGATATCAGGAGCCAGAGCAGTAGACAGGAGAGTGGAATGGGGAACTGTAAAAGTGGTGACTCTGTGCAGATCTGTGATGAAGTGAGAGGTAAGTTTTTTTGGGAGGGATGGTGACAAAACCAAGTGATGTTTCCTTGCCCCAAACACAAACAGAAACAAAACTCAAGTGTCTGCTAAGTCCTGAAATCCAGGGGTCTGAGCCCAGGCAGCTCAAGACAGTTATCCACTTAATATTTCCCATACCCTGCGTTCTGGTGTGTTTGACTTCCTTCAGCTGAAGGGAGGCTTTAGATGGTGACGTTCCGGGTTCTGGTGCCCCATTACAGGGTAATTCATCCAAGTTCAGGTAGGAATTTGCAGCTTGAGGTCAATTGGAGGAAATGGCAGTTTTTCCTTGTTTAGTTAGTGTCAGGTTGGAGCGAGAGTTGAACTGGAATTTAAGAACTGGGTTGGTACCTGTTCTAGGCGATGGCCTAGTGGTATTATCGCCGGACTGTTAATCCAGAGACCCAGATAATGTTCTGGGGACCTGGGTTTGAATCCCACCATGGCAGATGGTGGAATTTGAATTCAATAGTACAATAAATATCTGGAATTATGAATCTAATGATGACTGTGAATCCATTGCCAATTGTCAGGAAAAACCCATCTGATTCACTAATGCCCTTTAGGGAAGGAAACTGCCATCCTTACCTGGTCTGGCCTACTTGTGACTCCAGATCCACAGCAATGTGGTTGACTCTAGATCCACAGCAATGTGGTTGACTCTTAACTGCCCCTGGGCAATTAGGGATGGGAAATAAATGCTGCCTGGTCAGCGATGCCCTCATCCCATAAATGAATAAAGGGGAAAAAAAAAAATCATCATCAATAGGGCTGGGCACCAGGGAGCACCCTAAAGCTCTCTGAAATACCTGTGACACTGGTGATGTCGGAAGCTATGGCAACCAGTTTACAAGCAGGGAGCTCCTTGTTTTAACAATATTCTTTACAACTGGGGAGATCTCCACACTTTTTAGGGGAATCTTTGAAATTCACCTGAGAGGGCAGACAGGTCTCATTTTCACATCTCTCCTGAAAGGTGGCACTTCCAGCATGTGGCACTCCCTCAGCACTGACCCTCTGACAGCGCAGCACTCCCTCAGCACTGACCCTCCGACAGTGCGGCACTCCCTCAGCACTGTATTGAGGATGTTTGCCTGGATTTTTACACATACGACTCTGGTGTGGGATTCGAACCAACTGTCTGCTGGTTCTAGAGGTGTCAGTGCTAACCACTGAGCCAAGGCTGACAGCGTGTCCCAAGTGGGAGCAGGAGTGAATTGGGAAACGATGGATCATGTTCCTCACTGCTTCACAACATTCTTGGGATTAATGACTCAGAGCCTCCCCCTGGTGGCCAGCTACAGTCCATCCTACTGCTCCCTCGATTTCCTCAGTTCAGACCATGCTTGGGTCTCACAAGCTGGAACCATGGACCAGGGGACATTTCAGTGACTGAGGGTCCCATTCTGTAAGTAACCACAAGGTACAAGTGGGAATTCCAAACAAGTGAAGAAATTGCACCTGTGAACAGTGTTTTAACCTTGAAATTCTAAACATTTCTTTTACAGAAAAGCTGAAAGTCACCAAAATTATCTTTGTAATTGGTGAGTAAAATAATCTTCCTTTGGAATGTCGTGTAAAGGTTTAATAGATTATAATCAGAAAGTAGCAATGTGTCTTGAATAAATATTAGGATTTCCCATTTCAAAACCTCAGCCAGATTTTACAGAGGGATTCAAAATTAATAAGTGTTTTGTTTGATAAAGGAAAACTCTTTCACATGTTTATTGGGACCAAAACAATTGATCCATGTAACAGAAGGAAGATGGGATAACCTTGTTTTTCCTCAGTGAGTCCTTGTGATCTGAAAATTGGTCCCTGAGTGGGTGAGGGAAACAGATTCAATCAGAACTTTCAAAAGAGAAAATCCGTGACCAGGAGTAATTTTTAGGGCAATGGGGAAAGATCGAGGGAGTGAGGCTTTTAAGATAAACTACACCCGAGAGACAGTCTGGTCACAGTGGGTTGGAGAGCCACTTCTGGACTGTTTCATACATATTAGAACAAGGAAGGTTCTGTGCAGTTTTAGTGATGCTTCCCCAATGTATTCACTGCCCTCTCATCTTCTACCATTTACAAACCTCCAGTGGATCCAGGATTCCTTTGTTTGTGTCTTCCTCATCTTTACTGACTTACATGTGCAACTGTCCAGCCACACCTCCAAATTCTCCCTCCTGTCTTCAAATCTATTCATGGCCATACCTCTCCCTATCTGTGTCACCCCCTCCAGCCCCACAATTCCCCTGAATCAGGTGAATTCATCTAATCCTCGCCTCTTGTTGTTCCCCGTGTTTGGTCTCTCCTCCCCGGCAGCCGTGTTGCCTGAGCCCCAGGCTTGCGCACTCGCTCCCGAAAGGCATCCACTTTCCCATCATTTCTTCCTTCAGTTGCAACTGAAGAGTTGACCTCCCTGGTCACACAGTGTTGGCACCTCCCCTCGTGCCGAGCTTTATTTGCTGACCATGCCCTGCAAAGTGCCCAGTTATCCTCGAGACATGAGAGAAATGTGACTTGTGCTAATCCCCACACTGCAAGGAGGGAGAGGGAGGAAGTGTTGTAGGAGAGGCTGTTCCCTGACTGATTGTGATGGTCTGCACTTTTAGGGGGCCCAGGCTCTGGTAAAGGCAGTCAGTGCGAGAAAATGATGGAGAAATATGGCTTCACACATCTGTCGACAGGAAATCTCCTGCGGAAAGAGATCAGCAATGAAACAGAGCGAGGAAACAAGATCAAGAAGATTATGCTTGAAGGAGGCCTGGTGCCTTTGGTGAGTGGTTCTAATCCTTAATCTCTAACCTCTGCTGTTAAAGTCATAGGGCCATAGGGTCAGAGAGTCATTGGTTCATAGGGTCATAGAGTCATAAGGTCACAGAGCATGGCCACAGGCCCTTCAGTGAGTGCTCTAACCTCTGCTGTTGCTAAATTGATGGGCGATAGAAAGACAAGTTGGAGAGTATGTTGCAAAGAGGTTATATATGGAGGTTACAAAAAGAGCATTTATCTAAATGTTGTGAGTCATAGAGTCATACAGCATGGAAGTAGGCTCTTTGGCCCAACTTGTCCACACTAACCAGGTTTCCTAAACTGAACTGGTCCCATTTGCCTACATTTGGTCCATATCCCTCTACACCTTTCCTATCCATGTAGCTGTCCAAATGTCTCTTCAGTTCTGGAGATTGGAGAGCTCTGATACACAGAGGTAGATGGGTGTCCTTGTGTATGATTCACCAAAACCTAGTTAGCGGGTATAATTCAGGAGGCTAATAGAATGTTATAATTTATTGTGAGGGTACAAGAGTAGGGATGTCATGGTGAGAGTGTTTCTGGAGGACAGTGTACAGTATTGGTTACTTTTCTTCAGGGAATTGGGGGCAGCTCAGAGGACGTTACCTAGACCAAACAGATTGTCTTATGAGGAAGGGTCAGACAGACTAGGCTTGAATCGACTGGAGTTGAGCAACTTAGTTGAAAAATTTAAGATCCTGAGAGACCCTGTCAGATACGATGTGAAAAGCCAGGGCTCCCTGTTTTACAATAAAGGGCTGCCCATTAAAGATGGAGATGAGAAGAAACTTTGAATCTTTGGAACTCTTCCTCTAAGGCAGAGGAAGCAGAGTCTTTGAATATTTTGAAGGTAGAAGCAGGTAAATTCTTGATGAGGAAGGAGGCGAAAGAGGGCAGACAGGAATGTGGAGTAATCAGATCAGTCATGATCTTACTGAACGGTGGAGCAGGTGAGGAGGGGTTTCATGCCCTCCTCTCGCTCCTTGCCCCTCAGCGGGTTAGAGGGGCTGAGCGGTCTGATAGCATCGACAGACACTCTGCCTTCCCTCTGCATGTCACCCTCCATCTCTCACAGAGTCAGACTGACCTTAGATTGGTTATTGCCTAGAATCTTCATTTTTATTAGTATCTCATTCCCTGGATTTGTTACTGCCCCCTTTCCTGAATAATTGCCTTCTCGGTCCCCTTTACAACAGTTTAAATAATTGAAACACAGGGGTTCCAATACCTCTCCTGAAAAACTCCCCCATTTCCATTGTCCTATTCAACCCCACTCTTTCCCCACAAGAGGTGGGATAGCACAGTGGCTCAGTGGTTAGCACTGCTGCCTCACAGCCCCAGGGCCCTAGGTTCAATCCCACCCTCAGGTGACTGTCTATGTGGAGTTTGCACATTCTCCCCATGTCTGCACAGGTTTCCTCCCATAGCCCAAACACATGCAGACTAGGGTGGATTGGCCATGCTAAATTGTTCATAAAATCCAGGGATATGCAAGTTACGTGATTAGCCATGGGAAAGGTAGGGTTACAGGGATAAGGTAGGGAGGGTGGGTCTGGATGGGATGCAGTTTGGAGCATTGGTGTAGACTTGACAGGTTGAATGGCCCACTTCCACACTATAGGAATTCTATAAATTCACACAGCCAGAGTTGTATCATTATCAATGCCCAGATTCAATCTCTTGACATTGTTTTGAAATGGATTTATTTCCTTTCCCATTCAAGAGTCATAGACACTGAACCCCCCCCCCTCTCCTGTTCCACCGTGCTCGCTCCCCCAAACCTCGATTGGACAATTTCCCAGCTCCCAGGGATATCACCAGCTCCAAGTGAGAGTTGAAGATTTGAGAGAGGTCCAGCTTCCTCACCTGGAAAGTTACCCAGGATGTGTGGGACTGTACAAGTAACCCCCACAACCCCAAAGCCTCCAGCACTCCTCTCCCCACTCGCACCATACCTTTCAATTATCCTCCCAATACTTGGATCCTGTCATTCCCCAACATCCCAATTCTCTGTCCCTCTTTCTTGACCTCAGCAGTTAGCTCCTATCCTTCAGGTAAATCCCCTCATTGACACTCATTCACCAGTGGGCTGTAAAACTATTTAAATATCCCATCACTGATGATTGTTCGGGAAGACAGCAACTAGTGCTATAGAAAGGGAATGTGGCCTGATGGCCTTATCCAATGATGGGGAGTCTGACACTGGGACATGCTGCGCAGTTGGGAAGAGACCTGGCTTGGAAATCCTGTGGTGATCTAGTGGATCCTTGATCGTAGTGTTAACAGGTGAAAGGCTGACAGCAGCTGCTGCTTCCTCAGGACTTGTGCCTTGTCTTTGAAACAAACTTATTTTGCCCCACTCCCTGCACAAGTCTGAGATAACAAGGTGTAGGGCCGAAACATCAGCCTTCCTGCTCCTCTGATGCTGCTTGGCCTGCTGCGTTCATCCAGCTCTACACGTTGTTATCTCAGATTCTCCAGCATCTGCAGTGCCTACTATCCCTGCACAAGTGTGTTAGCTGCACATTCTGGGCATTCTCAGAGGAAGAAGGCATGAAACCACTTCAAGCTGCTCACACTTAGCCTTGCCAATAGAGATTGGGGGACACTGCATACATTTTCAATCAACCTGTAGGTTTCATCCTTTTTCATTGCAGGCAAACTGAGAGCATAGCACCAGGGGAAGGCTGTTTCACCCTCAAACCAAGCTGTCACCCAATTATCCTCTGTCCCTGAGGCTCCACCTCCTGCTTTGGGTTCCTCCACCCTTGTTCCCCTCATGATCCCCATCTCAGTTTTGAACATAGAACATAGAACAGTACAGCACAGTACAGGCCCTTCGGCCCATGATGTTGTGCCGGCCTATTATCCCACTAAGATCAAACTACCCTGCAAACCCTACAATATAATATTATACTGTCATTTTATTTATCCACCATCAGCTGGGGAGTGGGGAGACAGTTCCAGAATCCTTTTTGGGTGGTGAATTCCTGACTCTATCATTAAGGATCTGTTCTTGTTCTGGATTCCCCCTGAAGGCACAGACTTCCTGATTGGGCTACGGTCTGTGAGGGTCAGCCTCAGATTTAATCTCCAGCCCTCCATTCTCTGAGATGGTAGCAGCTGAGACAAGTAGGCCGTCTGTTTGTTCCAGCAAAGTCACTGGTTCATTTTAACCCATCTGACATGTGCTGACCAATCATTGCTGGAGCTGTTTCTCTAGGAGATTGTATCTGAGGGTCTTCCTCATGTCAGTGTTTGACCTGCCTTTCATTCATTCTCTCATTCGACCCCAGCTCATTTATTTCAAAGTACAGGTGAAGAATGAAGTATAAAAAGTATAAATGCCACAAAGTGACATTTCTCACTTGCTGCTTCCCCAGCTGTTTATTTCCTGATATAACTTAACAAGACCCAGCACCAAATGCTGCCTTTCAGAGTTTGAGCTTCTCCAGAAGACAATGTAGAAAATCTCTAAGGGAAAGGGCAAGGCAGTGGCATCAGGCACTGGCACGGGATGAGATGGGGCTGGCTTCCTCTGTTGCTAAAGGAAAAAATGTTGTTTTTCATTTTCTTTCAATATTTCTACATAACTACAAAAATATCAGGAATGCGAAAGCAGGAAATAGGAAAAATTAAGAATAGATATATCTCCTCCACAGGGCAGAAGATACCGTTAATTGTAGCAATCACTTCCTAGTCACTGGGAACTGACATTACCCACCACATTTGTCTCCAATTTTATTTGAACTTGTGTTTTTTTTAATTCAGGGAACGACCTTAGAGATTCTGAAGGATGCAATGTTGGAAAACCTGCAGGAGACCAAGGGCTTCATGATAGATGGATACCCTCGAACTTTAAAACAGGCTGAAGCCTTCGATAAATCTGTAAGTCTGTACGTCTGTAAGTCTGTACGTCTGTACGTCTGTAAGTCTGTACGTCTGTATGTCTGTACGTCTGTATGTCTGTACGTCTGTATGTCTGTACGTCTGTAAGTCTGTAAGCCCAGTCACCGTCAATATTCACAGAAACACAGAGACATAGAAACGTAGAAGACAGGAACAGGAGGAGGCCGTTCGGCCCTTCGAGCCTGCTCTGCCATTCTTCATGATCATGGCTAATTGTCCAACTCAATAGCCTAATCCTGCTTTCTCCCCATAACCTTTGATCCCATTCGCCCCAAGTGCTATATCAAGCCGCCTCTTGAATACATTCAATGTTTTGGCATCAACTACTTCCTGTGGTAATGAATTCCAGAGGCTCACCACTCTCTGGGTGAAGAAATGTCTCCTCATCTCCGTCCTAAATGCTCTACCCCGAATCCTCAGACTGTGACCCCTGGTTCTGGACACACCCACCATCAGGAACATCCTCCCTGCATCTACCCTGTCCCCAGCCCTGTTAGAATTTTAAGTCTCTATGAGACTCCCTCCTCATTCGTCTGAACTCCAGTGAAAACAATCCTAACCTAGTCAATCTCTCCTCATACGTCAGACCCGCCATCGCTGGAATCAGCCTGGTAAACCTTTGCTGCACTCCCTTGAGAGCAAGAGCATCCTTCCTCAGAAAAAGGAGACCAAAACTGCGCACAATATTCTAGGTGTGGCCTCACCAAGGCCCTGTATAACTGCACCAACATATCCCTGCTCTTGTACTCGAAACCTCTCACAATGAAGGCCAACATACCATTGCCTTCTTTACCGCCTGCTGCACCTGCATGTTTACCTTCAGCGACTGGTGCACAAGGACACCCAGGTCCTGCTGCACACTCCCCTCTCCCAATTCACAGCCATTCAGGTAGTAATCTGCTTTCATGTTTTTGCTTCCAAAGAGCAAAGTCCTGTAAATGCGGAAATCTGTCCATTTCAAGAAAAGACCATGGTGATCCTGGGGGCTGTGGAGAGAAGCAGAATGAACATTTCAGGCAGGGCTGACCTCTCTATAGAACTGAGGCAAGGTTGAAATGTCACAGGCTGTGACCCAGCGGAAGGGACAGCAAGAACAGAAGGGAATCTTGTATGATGGGCAGGACAGGAGAAATCCATTTTCATGGTTGAAAGGCCAACACAGAGTGGTTCTCAATAGACCAAGAAAACGCTCCCAGTCAAAGTGCAAACCTGGGTGGATGAAATTCTTTAAAAATCCTTGTGTATTTATCTGTAGGTCTACACTGATGTGTCTATGTGTTGGTCTGGACTGGGTGGATCTATGTATGTCTGTATGGTGCTGAGCATGGAGATGAGTTGTATTGTGTCCGTGTATAATCATGTGTCATTGTCCATCCAGCTGTGTGTGTGTCTCCTGTGCTTAAATATACAAGTGTCTGTTTTTGAGTATATGCCTCTGTGCTCAAGTGCTCAGTTTAAAATAACACAGCTATTTGAGAAAAATAAATTCCTGTGATGTATCCACTGGAATCTAGCTCTTGATGTGGAATGGGAAAGATGCTGGGGATGTTGCACTCAGGTGCCTCAATTCTGATATTCTGACATCTCAATGGATCTGTCTACTTCCATAGTGTGCCGGCCTCAATCCTCACTCAATTTGCGCCCTGACTGAAACCATTCACAAAACCACGTTCCAGTCACTAACAATGAGACATTTCCAGAGCGAAGAAAATCACCAAACACAATGTATCCTCGATTTAGAGATAGTAAGAACTGCAGATGCTGGAGTCTGAGATAACACAGTGTGGAGCTGGATGAACACAGCAGGCCAGGCAGCATCAGAGGAGCAGGAAAGCTGACGTATCTGAAGAAATTTCTTAGAAGGCTCCCAACCCAAAACGTCATCTTTCCTGCTCCTCTGATGCTGCCTGGCCTGCTGTGTCCCTCCAGCTCCACGCTGTATCCTCTATTCAAATAAGTTCAAACTGGAACACTGAATGACAGTATAAAAACAACATCCGCATTTGTGAAATTGCCTCTTCAGTTTCATTCCTGTCCTAGTGCAGCTCAGGGAGTACCACAGCCTCATGGTCCATAAATAAACAGTGCCGCATTGTTGGAGGGTCAATGCTGAGGGAGTGCCACACTGTCAGAGGGTCAGTGCTGAGGGAGTGGGCACTGTTGGAGGGTCAGTACTGAGGGAGTGGGCACTGTCGGAGGGTCAGTACTGAGGGAGCGCCGCATTGTCAGAGAGTCAGCACTGAGGGAGTGCTGCACTGTCGGAGGGTCAGTACTGAGGGAGCGCCGCACTGTCGGAGGGTCAG